TGAAATTCAGAGAGCTGTGAATATAAATGCCACATGTATGCTGCAATATACAGAAGTCTTTTATGTCAAGAATTATAGTGTGCATATACTCTTGCAGCGATCAGATACGTTACCTGTGCATATACGTGCAGTGCTCAGATACTAGTCTATCATGGAGAGGAAGAAACCTTTGGTGGGAACAAATAAGCTTCCCTCCTCATGTGTTGTGAATGTGTGCGGCGAACAGAGGACAGGCAAACAGAGGGAGTTTGCCTGGGAGTTCACTTGGGGGAAGTTCCCACAGAGTGTTTTTGCCTTTCAGGCTTCTGTGAGCAGTAAATGCAACATCTGAAGAGGCTCTTAGAAGGAAGACAATATGGATAGTGAGCGATCAGCTGTTGTGACCTGCACGGGATGTGCCATGTTTGTCTTTCTCCCAGAGAACAGAAGCAACTTCGTCTCTACGAAGTGCAAACTGGTCTCCATATTGGAAGACAAGGTTAAAGGACTAGAGACCCAAGTATCAATCCTGCATTGCATCAGAGAAAATAAAGATTTTTCTGGATAGAAGTCAGCGTTTGGTACTGCAGGAACAGCATGCTGAAGAATCAGAGAGGGCAGTGCAGAACGGGGAAGAAAATTGGCAGCATGTGACCTCCAGAAGAAGAAAGAGGAGAACCCATGTACCCCCAATGCAGATAGAGGTAAGAAACTGTTTTCAGGCTTTCTGCACAGGTATTATGTCAGAGAATGGTTTGGAAGAGTCATCTGAGGGAAGAGATCAGAAGGAGACCCCATCGACCGGAAGGTATGGGATGCATTGTCCTAGGGATGGGGGTTCCATGACCACCACTCCCAAGAGGAGGAGAAGGATTGCTAGGAAGAGATGGAATCCACCTACCGAAGAGAGGAAAGAGCATCTTCGCAGGCAGGCTTGCTAACCTAGTGAGGAGGGCTTTAAACTAGGTTTGCTGGGGGATGGTGACCTAAGCCCCGAGGTAAGTGAGGAAGTGGGATACTGGGAGGAAACACAAGGAGGAGGGTGCAACAGGGAAGGCCTCCTGATCCATACTGAGAAAGTAGGGCAATCAGCTAGTTATCTTAGGTGCATGTGCACAAATGCAAGAAGCCTGGGAAACAAGCAGGAAGAATTGGAAGTCCTGGCAGTCAAGGAACTATGATGTGATTGAAATAACAGAGACTTGGTGGGGTAACTCACATGACTGGAGCACTGTCATGGATGGGTATAAACTGTTCAGGAAGGACAGGCAGGGGAGAAAAGGTGGAGGAGTTGCACTGTATATAAGAGAGCAATATGATTGCTTAGAGCTCCAGTATGAAACTGGAGAAAAGCCTGTTGAGAGTCTTTGGGTTAAGTTTAGAGGTGAGAGCAACAAGGGTGATGTGGTGGGCATCTGCTTTAGACCACCAGACCAGGAGAATGAGGTAGACAAGGCTTTCTTTGGACAACTAACAGAAGTTTCCAGATCACAGGCCCTGGTTCTTCTGGGGGACTTCAATCCTCCTGACATCTGCTGGGAGAGCAATACAGCAGTGCACAGACAATCCAGGAAGTTTTTGGAGTGTGTTGGGGACAACTTCCTGGTGCAAGTGCTGGAGGAACCAACTAGGGGTATGCTCCTTTTGACCTGCTGCTCACAAACAGGGAAGAATTGGCAGGGGAAGTAGAAGTGGGTGGCAACCTGGGCAGCAGTGACCACGAGATGGTTGAATTCAGGATCCTGACAAAAGGAAGAAAGGAGAGCAGCAGAATACGGACCCTGGTCTTCAGAAAAGCAGACTTTGACTTTTAGGGTACTGATGAGCAGGATTCCCTGGGAGGCTAATATGAGGGGGAAAGGAGTCCAGGAGAGCTGGCTGTATTTTAAAGAAGCCTTATTGAGGGTGCAGGAACAAACCATCCTGGTGTGCAGAAAGAATAGCAAATATGGCAGGCAACCAGCTTGGTTTAATGGAGAAATCTCTGGTGAGCTTAAACACAAAAAGGAAGCTTACAAGAAGTGGAAACTTGGACAGATGACTAGGGAGGAGTATAAATATATTGCTCGAGTATGCAGGGTTGTAATCAGGAATGCCAAAGCACAATGGGAGTTGCAGCTAGCAAGGGATGCAAAGGGTAACAAGAAGGGTTTCTAGAGGTATGTTAGCAACAAGAAGGTCAGGGAAAGTGTGGGACCCTTACTGAATGGGGGAGGCAACCTAGTGACAGATGATGTGGAAAAAGCTGAAGTACTCAATGCTCTTTTTGCCTCGGTCTTCACAGACAAGGTCAACTCCCAGATGGTTGCACTGGGCAGCACAATATGGGGAAGAGGTGAGCAGCCCTCATTAGTGAAAGAGCATGTTAAGGACTGTTTAGAAAAGCTGGACATGCACAAGTCCATGGGGCCGAATCTAATGCATCCAAGGGTGCTGAAGGAGTTGGCTGATGTGATTGCAGAGTCATTGGCCATTATCTTTGAAAACTCATGGCGATCGGGGGAGGTCCCGGATGATTGGAAAAAGGCAAATATAGTGCTCATCATTTAAAAAAAAAAATGGGAAGAAGGAGAATCCAGGGAACTACAGCCTTACCTCAGTCCCTGGAAAAATCATGGAGCAGGTCCTCAAGGAATCCATTTTGAAGCACTTGGAGGTGAGGAAGGTGAGCAGAAACAGTCAACATGGATTCACCAAGGGCAAGTCATGCCTGACCAACCTGATTGCCTTCTATGATGAGATAACTGGCTCTGTGGATATGGGGAAAGCGGTGGACGTGATATACCTTGACTTCAGCCAAGCTTTCGATACAGTCTCCCACAGTATTCTTGCCAGCAAGTTAAAGAAGTATGGATTGGATGAATGGACTATATGGTGGATAGAAAACTGGCAAGATCGTCGGGTTCAACGGGTAGTGATCAACATCTCGATGTCTAATTGGCAGCCGATATCAAGTGGAGTGCCCCAGGGGTCGGTCCTGGGGCTGGTTTTGTTCAACATCTTCATTAATGATCTGGATGATGGGATGGATTGCACCTGCAGCAAGTTCGGATGACACTAAGCTGGGGGGAGAGGTAGATATGCTGGAGGGTAGGGATAGGGGTCTAGAATGACCTAGACAAATTGGAGGATTGGGCTAAAAGAAATCTGATGAGGTTGAACAAGGACAAGTGCAGAGTCCTGCACTGAGGATGGAAGAATCCCATGCACTGCTACAGGCTGGGGACCGACTGGCTAAGCGGCAGTTCTGCAGAAAAGGACCTAGAGGTTACAGTGGATGAGAAGCTGGATATGAGTTAACAGTGTGCCCTTGTTGCCAAGAAGGCTAACGGCATATTGGGCTGCATTGGTAGGAGCATTGACAGCAGATCGAGGGAAGTGATTATTCCTCTCTATTCGGCACTGGTGAGGCCACATCTGGAGTATTGAGTCCAGTTTTGGGCCCCAGAAAGGATGTGAACAAATTGGAGAGAGTCCAGCGGAGGGCAATAAAAATGATTAGGGGTCTGGGGCACATGACTTATGAGGAGAGGCTGAGGGAACTGCGTTTATTTAGTCTGCAGAAGAGAAGAGTGAAGGGGGATTTGATAGCAGTCTTCAACTACCTGAAGGGGGGTTCCAAACAGGATGGATCTAGACTGTTCTCAGTGGTGGCAGATGACAGAACAAGGAGCAATGGTCTGAAGTTGCAGTGGGGGAGGGTTGGATATTAGGAAAAACTATTTCACTAGGAGGGTGGTGAAGCACTGGAATGGGTTACCTAGGGAGGTGGTGGAATCTCCATCCTTAGAGGTTTTTAAGGCCTGGCTTGACAAAGTCCTGGCTGGGATGATTTAATTGGGGTTGGTCCTGCTTTGAGCAGGGGGTTGGACTAGATGACCTCCTGAGGTATCTTCCAACCCTAATCTTTTATGATTCTATGATCGTTTCCTTTCTGGAGAAAAGGATTCTGAATCCATAATCTCTTCTGGGGATTCTGTCACTGGGAAAGGGAGATCTTATTTGTTTTTTTGTCTCAATTTTAAAGGATTCCTCCTCGGACTGTAGTCCCACACCCTTTCTCATCAGAAATGTGAAGATCATGGAATAAGGAAGAAATTGGGCCCTGACTATGTCCATAAGTAAGGGTTCTGGATATGTTCATAATTAATATACATGGTTTCATTTCCAAGCCCATCATATATTATCTTACATTTTTGTTCCTGTAATTCTAAGCTAGAATTCCTTTTTTCAAAATGACGACTACAGCTAACCAGACAGCTGTGTAGCAGAGAGCCACTCGTAGTGACTCCTGTGCAAGAAATATACACCCAACAATAGCTAGCATTATTTGACTACATGTTGCATCTCAAATAAATATTCCTGATTGAAGGAAACAGAAACACAGAACAAAATTTTGTTTTATATAATGCTTTTCATACTCAAGGTAATTCAAAGATCATTCAAGTGGTGACATGGAAAAACCTTCTTACACCAAGTGATTTCCCTTGGGGCATTAAATCCTCCACAGTGGTGAACGTATTGGTTGTCAGAACATTGTTTTAAGGAAATTTGAAAGCCATAAGGGAGTTTCAAATCTGGGATGTGATTTGTTTTGACCTTGGACAGTTGTGCCACCTTTTTGGTGTACTCTGACTCTGGTTCTTGGCTTTATTTTAAACCCAGAGCAACTGGCTTGTTGAAGATCTAATTCTTTGAAGTTGAGAAAATGGGCATAAGGTGATTTATCATCCACAAGGGGAAGTGGAATGAAATGTGGACATTTCAAGGGCATCATACACTCTTACCTATTATAGATTCATGGATTTTAAGGCCAGAAGGGACCACTGGATCTCCTAGTTGGACCTAATATAAAATGCAAGCCATCTAATATCACCCAGTTGCCCCTGGATTGAGTCCAGTATTTGAAAAGTGGAACTTATTTAAAAGGAAGTAGGATATGATTCCACAGGAGTTTTAAGAGAAGAAATAAAAAAGCACACAACAGACTAGTGAGAATCAGCTGTCAAAAAATACAGTACCTTGAACACCATGTGGAGCATCATTTGCAGACCACTCTTGCCTGGGTATTTCCCAGCAATGTTAGAGGCAGACAAGTTGAAGAGATTGGCTCCTGTTTCTGTGCAGAGGGCATGCACCAGCATTTTCTTTCCTACTCCTGTGGGCCCAGCTAGCAACAGGGCTTTCACCAAAGGAGCCTTCTCATGTACTGCTTGAGAACCTATAAAAAGTAATAAGGCACTATTATTGCTTTCATTTACGTCTGCCATAAATGTAATGGTGAATGATTCTTCAGTTTTTCTTCCTGATAAATATTTCATAATGTGAACTCTTCATCTCACTAACGTAGAGCAAGTGGTGTAGAATTCACTTTACAGCTGTAGAATATGTTAGCCTTTGTTCGTGGCAGGAAAACCAATAGTACTGAACTTCTTTTAATTGTGACTTTCAGCAAAATTCTTCTCAGGTCCAGGGCCAGCGTTTCACTTTGCTTAATATTGGATATGGGCATTGAAATGAAATGAAATGAAAATGAGACACATAGTTACATGCAGAAGACAAGCCCGACACTATGCACAGTACACATCTGCCTTCAATTACACCGAACTGTTAACTGACTGCCTGTTGGCTGTCAGGCAGATGTGTGGTTGTAGGTATACCTGTGGTCTAATTTAAAAGAGGAGACAAACATTCTACCTCAGAGCTGTTCTCCACTTCATAATTGGAAAGGGGAGGAAATTCCTGTCATATGTTACAATAGCAGAATCTGTTATCTGCGCCAAAAATGACACTTTCCAACTTCCATAAGAAAACAAACTAATTGGAGTATTTTCCTGATGAGCGATCGTCTGTAATTTAAAACCAGATGTCACCCGTCTTTCTTTTGCCCCTTTCTTCTCTCGCTACCCTTTTTTTGGAAATTTTTCTCTTTATATATTTCTGCTTTTAGTAAGTGTGGGAGAGTCTGATCCCTTGATTGTAGGAATGGAATGTAGCTGACTGAGCTGGGCAATGACAGCACCCGGGAGTGGGATTGCTGTGCGTGTTAAGTCATGTCATTCTCCAACACGGAAAGATTAAGCCCTATCTAGAACTCTGCTACTTCATTTATGAGTAGAGGCATGGCATATACCCATTTAGTGGCTAATCTGCTTTCTGTTCTCTGCTTTTTTTGGTTGAGACAGTGCAGATGCTGGGTTCCTCCTCTTCACTTGCTCTGACAGGGAGGATGATGACCAATCACCATCCAAGATTTCACTGCTCTCTACGGCTCTCTCCTTTGCTTCTCCAGTTTAAGCTCTTCTGATCTGAAAGAAATGAGGTTGCCTGTTCTACCTTGATAGTTGGATCAGTGAGTATTGTTGAAGCCTGGGCTTGGAAAGCCAAATGGGGATGGTGTCTGCACTGTCCTAACAGAGCCACAGAAAGCAATTTAGCAGGGAAGGGGCAATGTCACATGCTTTTTTGTGGCTCTGGCTGTGACTGCACAAATTGGGTTTTGTATAGTGGCATCCTATGGAAAGCCACCCTAGAGAGGGAGGAGGAGAGACAGAAGCCTGACTGAAAAGAGGGAGCCTGAGGTAATGAAAAGGAAGGGCCAAGCACCTCTGACTCTTTCACAGATTCCAATTTCAAAGGCTGGTAGCCACCCCAGACACTTCTTTGAGGAGAATCTCTACTCGAGGTGAGCTTCTCTCCCTTCTAAGCAAGCTGAGCAGCTGTTTTCTGCTGCACTTCTGGACATTGTTTCAGCCACTGCTTTGCTCCACTGACTGATCGGCGATTTCCTCAGCGAGAGAAGGAAAAAGTGCCTAATGCTCCAATGAGAAAGTGCTGCTGCAAGAGGTGCAGGTGAGATTTCTTCCCTCATTGAGAGCCAGATGGTACAAGATGCGATGGAACAGAGGTTATCTTCCTCTGCATTGCTCATTGCTCTTAGTGAGGGAGGGATTGGAGAAAGGAGGCGTAGAGAGTTGGTAAATGCTGAATGCTAGTTGCCATTATGCCTGTCAGTGAGGAGGCAGGACCCAGCATCTGTGCTGTCATGGACAAAGCCACAAAAATATTTAGTATCTTATGGTCAGCATCCCTCATAATAGAATTTGGACAGTAGACAGTAAACTTAACTGCAAACATATAAATTGCCTCTCCCTTGATGGTCCAATAAAATCAGTGCCTTTTACTCGCCACATAAAAACATGCCCTTATCTTGATGTAGAGATTACCACTCCAAAGTAACTTGAACAGTTCTGCCTCTCATCACATGCTGAGGGTTTTCAAACTTTCTGTCTGCCAGCTAATTGGTAGGGGGAAAAAGTCCAGAAGGTTAAAACCCCCTTGCGGGAGCTTTGCCAGTTCTGGAAAAGTTCTATTCCAGGTACTGAGAGCAAGAGAAACTCCAACTCCTACAACCACTACAGAAGGAGGGGCGACTGTTTAGCTAACAATGCTATTAAAAGTGAAAACAAACCCATCCATCAATGTGTTAATGACTTAAAGTAGCCAAATAAATTACAGTGAACAAAGTATTAAGATGAATGCCATCGTAAGCCTTTATTCCAGCACCATGAACCATGCAGTGAAGTTACCAACCTCTCAAGTTATATGAATATTTTTGGTCATTTCATACCAATTTATTACTATTATACATTGATTATAATGGAGCAATAGAAACCCCTCTAGAGAAATGTAACTTCCATTAAAAAGTCTCCTTTCAACTGCTTATAATTTTCTGATTCCTTTTGGGCTGAAATTTTCTCTATCAGGTGAATATTTTTGGGAAAGCTTTTTCTCTCTCTCTCTCTATATCTATATACACAATGATTAACTACGGTAGTTCTGAGGCCAGTTAAGTAAAATGTCATCCATTAAATACCACCCAAAGGTGAAATAATTCCTGAGACTTTTTGGCTTCAGGCAAAATATATATATATATATAATATAACATACATTTGCTATTGCAAATACAGTCTATACTTTTACTGGTTGAGGGTATTTTTCCTCTTTCACAGTTTCTCTCCAATTAATGGGAGGAGGTTTATGGGCCCCTCTTACCTTGGCAGGAGCAGTCTTTGGGCTTGATTATCCTAGAAAATTAGGTTAAAACATGACCTTGCAGTGTAGACAGGGATGTCATGTTTATCTTTGTATTAGCTGGTTAAACCTATGGGTCTAGTAGAGTTAACCAATGACCAGCTGACGTGGTCTTAAAATGAAGGTCCCTGTCTATGCTGACTGCAAAGTTCCATTTAACGTAATGTTGGAACTCAGCCTTGAGGAGTCAAATTAACTAATACAATCTAACTTGCTACGGAAGGACAAGCCCTTTGAGGGAAAGCTCTCGCTCCCTCCTTTCCAAATTCCCATTGTTGTAGGGTGGGAAGAGTCTTCTGTATGGTGCAGCCTGCTCCCCTTGGTGCACTCTGCCCACCCTGTGTGCCCGTGCAGAGGGGGCTGGCACCATGGAATGCACACAGTGTGTTCCAGTGTGTACAGCGAGAGCAGCCTGAGCGCAAGGATTGCGTTTGTCCCTGGTCTTTATTAAAGGCACACACAAGGGAGGGGAGGGGAAGAGAAGGCTCCCTGCTCCCCTCCATCCCAACACTAAAACAAGAGCCAGGGACATTCTGGCCTGAGGTGGAACAAGTGGACTGAGTGGCAGAGAATGAGGCTACATAGGACTGAGTTGGCTGGCTGAGAACTTGCCTGTCCTCTGACAGAGGTCTCCCAAAAGTGGAAACATTATGAAAGAAAATTATAAATAGCACATGCAAAGCCCCTTTATGTAGTAAGTGCCTGTATTCCCCATGGTTGGCCTACAGTCATCCTGTCAGTCTTGAGAAAAATATTGGGGCAGACAGTATGTTTTAAAAAAACCCAACTAAGTTTTGTTTCATATTAATAGTGGCTGGCATTTAAAACGACAAGGACATTTAAAAGTGCTCTCTTTCAGCTATCTGGAATCTACTCAGACTAATTCCTTAACTGCTCACCTTGTTTGGTGCCAGGTAACATTAGCCAGCTTGTAAAAGGTAAATTGCAACCTTAGCCCTTCCCTTAACTTGATTGATTTTAATCACTGGAGCTTGTTTTAGCTATTATCTTTCCCATGTGATTTCCTTTATGTGCTGCCATTCACAAACTGTTAAAATGCAAACAGAGATGGCAAAGAAATGCAATACCTGACAATAGCATGTGCATGCTCTTTTATACACTATTAAAATGATATGGCCTTCACTCAGAACACTTAATTGAAAAACAATTATACTGCAAAATGCTTTAGACTACAATCAATCAAGCACTGTCAAAGCTAGTAAAAATGTATGTTACTGGCAGGAAGCAAACCATCATATTCTGCCCTTTAGTAATTTTTGCTGTGCTCTTACCTAATGGCAATATTCCATACAGTGCTATTAGCTGTCTGACATCTGTGAGAGAGGGCATTGGCTCTATATCTACCTGACGAAGCGTAGTCCCCAGATAGCTGTACTCGCCTGCAGGGAGGAAGCATGGGCTTAATAAATGTGACACTGTATTGTTATAAAGTGCATAATTCAAATAATGAAAAACTACCACGGAATACAAATTTTGCATGCTCTCAGCAAACCCAGTTCTGCCATGGGAAAGGGACTCAGGTAGGGGAATGTTGCCATGGAATACAGGCCTAGAAGGAAAATGAAGTTAAGCAAACATTCCTGTGCTGACTCTCCCTACTAAGCAGGTTGTGGAGGGCATGCAGCAGAGAAATAAGTCTTAAATAACCTTTTAAAGAAACTTTGTGGTTCACAAAAGAATCATTACTGACACCATAAATCACATCAATAGAGAATTTGGGGAGTTGAGATGTCATATTTTTGGAATCACCAATGAACCAAGATGTATCTAAGGGATTTCAAAGAGGGAAAAATATATTGTTTAAAAGGTTACTTAATTTTTTTTTCTGAATGCTGCCTGCCTCCATTATTCCCACCACATCTCAGTTAGTGGGGACACTCAGCACAGCAGTCTGTGTTCAGTTCAATGTTTGTTTTTTGCATTGCACTTCACCTTTTTTATTTAAACTTAGCACTGCTGCAGACTGAAGCAGTCTAAAACGAGAGTCCTGCCTCATCTCGTTAGAGAGCTGTAATCACATATAGGACATAGTGGGACAAAGATCCAGAAGGATGGGACACAAGCAAGAAAATTAAGGCTATGTCTACGCTGGATCTGGAGGGGTAACTTCCAGCTTGAGTAGATGCATGTTAGCTCGCGAAAAATAGCAGTGTAGCGATGGGATGGGCTAGCCGCACCAAGTACATACCTAGGGTTTCAGACAAGATTGTACTCGTGAAGCTAAGACTACACCGCGAGCTGGAAATTTCACCTCCAGCTCCAGTGCAGACATACACTAATAGTGCAGGAAAAATACATTTCAGAAGGATTCATTTCTTTAGCATAAAATAACATGTTCTGTAACTAATACTATTTTGTATTTTGATGATGATAACTTACAAATAGGAAGGAAGAACATCCAGCTTATCTGGGATAGATGTAAAATTAGGTATAAAATGAGAGAGAGTTGAGAGATACAGTCATAGTTTGGGCAAGGAGATGGACAAGCACTGGCATAGCCTCCCCTCCCCCTTTGAGGGTAAAATTCATTTCAGGTTTTATCTTTTATTTAAGGAGAAATCAAAAGAACTAGCCAGAAATTAATCTTCAGAGATTTAATTAGAAGGCATCAAAGGGTTTAATTGCAACTGGCCATAAATCATGATGGATAGTCTCTGACTAATTTAGATAAGGTCACCAAGAAAATTAGTTCAGCAATGTCGGTTTGTCATAGGGATGGACGTTTCAGTACCTTTACTCACTGTGTGGCTTCTGCCCTTTGTCTTCTCCCCCAGAACCGTGAGTGAGTGAGCAACCTTTCTAGGATTTCAGGACTCAGGGCTGAAGGGCACGCATTTATTTCTCTATGGGCTATAACTCTAACCTTGTAACTTTAAATGTTGCTTTTGATTTGATATCAAGCCAAAAATTTTAGGCCTCGCTCCTGGGAAATGCTAAGTACCATTTGTATCACTCTAGCAGTGCAAGTGGGACTTACAGCTGCCCTAAATGGAAAGCTGAATTCCCTGAACATGAGAGAATCTTCTGCTGGGGCAGGGCTGGCTTTGACAGCTCTATGCCTCCTCCCTGCCTACCCAGAGTAGGGGCTGTGTGGGGATGTGCTGGCTATGAGCACTCTGGGGGGGAGGGATAGCTCAGTGGTTTGAGCATTGGCCTGCTAAACCCAGGGTTGTGAGTTCAATCCTTGAGGGGGCCACTTGGGGATTTGGGGCAAAATCAGTACTTGGTCCTGCTAGTGAAGGCAGGGGGCTGGACTCGATGACCTTTCAAGGTCCCTTCCAGTTCTAGGAGATGGGATATCTCCACTCTGTATTACAGTGATCCCCCACCCAGTGTAGTGGCTCCTAGTAGGTCAGTGCTACTTTTATGTAACTTAGAGCAGCCCTGAGGCTACCCTAAACTATGACAGGAGCCAAACTGACTCCTGACAGCTTCAGGATCAAGGGATTACAAAGATGGCTCAAAGCCATCATTGCCCCCCTACCCACCTCTCCAGTTGGTGCGCTTGAGGTTTTGGTGCTGAGTGTTTTATTAAAATTGTGAGGGGATGTTTTGATTTTTCCAAAATTCGACAATGTTACCAGCCACTAACTATCCTGTTGGCCAAGATGGTCTTTCAAAGTGTCTGTGATTGAAATGTCTGTCAGCCATAAACGACCTTGGGAAGGACAGCTGGTAGTGGTTGGGCGAGTGCAATAATAATGAGAAGCTTCCATTACTACTCTCAGCACTCTATGCTCTTTAATGAGTATGCAGTGACTAGAATACCAATACCAGCTCATTCTCGAGAGTGGCCAAGGACTCTGTTGGCAATAAATGCTGCTTTTAACAGTTTATAAAAACATGGCACTTGCAGCTGATATGAGAGACTCCAGATTTTCCTGCTTAGATCTATACCATATTAATGGCCAGATGCACTGTACGTGCTAGGTACTGACAAGCTCTTTAATTGTGGTCCTTTAAATTAGTGGGTTCTTCCCCTGATATATTGCAGCTTGTTCAGTTTTAGGGAATGGCCCAAAACAATCAGAGAGCGTATCAAGCCACGGTGCAACCTGTGAGATTGCATTTCTTCTCTGAACACTAGCCCCACTGCACTCAGATCTTTCTATGGTGCTTTACCTTGAGGTTTTCTATCCGTGTATGTGAGGCTGTATAATATTGGCGACTATTTTATTTTCTGGAAAATATTTTGGACACACAAGGTCGCTATGCCCTCAGGTTCCATTGTCTTGCCAATATTGCCCGCAGCTGCTTGAATGGTAACTGACATCTGACAGCTACTTGTGACAGCCTAAAATTCAGAATTTTCAAAGGTGGGTATATAAAGCAAGTGCTTACCTCCATAGCTAGGCACTTCAACAGTACAAATTGTGGGTACTGAGCACCTCTGAAAATCAGGCTTCTTTTGATTTGGGTGTCTAACTTTAGACGCTTGTCCCGGAATCTTATTGAAACTGCAACTGTACTTCATTTCATTCTTGACTTGACTGGTCATGGTGATTAGTGAACCTTGGAAGGTTTGCATGTTTCATTAGATAAAACATACAAACACTTGGATGCTCAAAGTCCAAATATCTTTGAACTGGAAATCTCCCAGGAAAAGGTTTTCCTGAAATCTTGGTTATGTCTGGACTGTAAATAACATGAGAGCAGCTTCTTACAATATTTTGGTACTTCTCTTTCTGGCACCTGGCAAACTCAGGAATGACGAAGTAGTGGCATGCAAACATGTTTAAAAATACAGAAAACAGACCCACATTTCAAATAAAAAAAAAAAGGGTTGAATTTATTCTGACTTGAGTTTTTGGTCAACTGTTTCATTCAATCTATTTCATCCATCTTGTATAAGCAGCCAAACTAGTGTAACTGGAGTTCACTATGGATGAAGTGTTCTCATAATATTCAAGATATTAGCTCTGGTATGTAAGACATTTAAAAATGTATACATTACCAACATAATCAGAGAGTTTCACTGTCTTGGGCTTTATTAGTAATCCTCCTTCTACTAGTTCCTCGTACAGAGAATCAATTGTCCTACAGACAAGATACATAATTTCAGAAAATTCTAGAGGTCTGCAAAAACAGTCCAATCCGTCAGTAACAAAACTAAATGGAACATTTACACATCTTTAGCTTTATAATATGTAATTTTTTACTGGAAGGTAAAATTGATTATCGCTGTCAATATTTAATCATTATTGACTTTTCTGACTCATCTGTTATTTGTTCTCTTCCCCGTTAAGTAATAGTCCTACACTTTTATTTCCTTATATACCACATGATTTCTTATAGCAGTCATGACTACCTGTTTCCAGGTGATGAAGATCACTGACTCCTGTTGTAATCATTCATTAATATCACTGACTCCTGTTGTAATCATTCATTAATATCAATTACTGAGAAATTCTTTTAAAATCCTAATAACAGCACATAACATTATGCTTCCGCAATTAGTAATTCATTAATTTTCCTGGAATTTAATCTGTTTTCAATAGACCAATTTCCACTCCTTTAAGAACATCACATACTTTATTATACTGGATCAACCAATGGTCCACCTAGTTTGGTATTCTCCCTGATGGGGGCCAGAGCCAAATGTTGTAGAGGCAGGTGAGAAAAATCATGCAGTGGACAATTATGGAATAACATGCTCATTGAGGAAGTTTCTTCCTATCTCCTGTCAATTTGTGGGTGTCTTTTGACCTAAAAAATGAGGATTTATACCCTTGAATTTTTTTCTCTCTCTTTTTTTGGTATCCTGCTAAACTCTCGGCCTCAATGATATTTTGTGGCAATGAGATCTACAGACTAATTAAAATTGCTTTGAGGAAATAATTCTTTGCACACTGTATAAGTATATTGCCTTCCATTTTTATTGAAGGTCATCGTCTTATATTTTGAGGGTAAATAAGAATGCCTAACTTGACCTTCTTTAGATCTTTCATTATTTTGTATACCAACATCATCTCTTATTCATCTCGTCTTCAAGCTAAACAGTTCCAATCTGTTCAGTGTCTCCTAAGGAAGTCTTTCCATGCCTTTAATAATTTTGGTTACCAGTCCTACTAAAAGAATATAAATATTTAATAATAGGTATCAGTTGGCCAATAAAATCAATAAACCTTTAATTTCATGTCTCGTGTGTTTTCCAATAGACATTTCATTTAAAAATTCTTATGTCCACACAGTGCATAATTAATACATAAGCAGTAATAAGGAAATGCAAAATTTAATGTGCCTACAACATTAACGCTGCCAGTGTGGTTCTTGTTTTCATAGCTGAATGTATAACGTGATGATTTTTATGTTAGGTGTATATCACAAAATGTACAGCAGGTATAATGTGGACAAGATAGCACTGCTGTAAGAGCCATAACTTCTGCATTTCCTGCTTTATTATTTTAAATGTGCAAATTTTAATGATGCATGAACTGCGTCTCCTCCATGTGGAAGTGTGTTATGCGCAGTCCCTTCTATTGATTTAAACTCCTGTGTTTCTCTACCATGTAAAAACACACAAAGATAGACATGAGCCCCTCTTGGCTATTTCTGAAATGTTACCCCTTCTCCTGAACAGCAGGCACGAGCAATGTGTGAAACTTAAAGGCCAAAGAAACTACCACAACAAGCTAGCTACTACAAAGCATATAATATAGTATTAAAATAATAGTCACTAATAGCACAGTATTATAATAATTACATAGTTTCTGAGTAAGCCATGCCTGTTTGGTGTGGCACTCTGTCTCCCTCTAAAGGTGGGTAGGTCAAGTAGAGGTTGATTGTGCTTGCTACAGCCTTGGCTAAGAGAGTTGGGTGTTTTAGTTCAGGCAGTAGAGCCTCATGCATTAAGATCCAGAGGTCCCAAATTCAATCCTTGATGCTGCTGACCCACCCAGAGGCATCAGCATTACAGCTGTATAAGTGTATGTTTATATATGTAAAAGTGCATATGCATTTACTTGATAGACCCTGGAGCTGTTATATGGTATGAGAGGTCATCTTCCATACACTTCCATGAAATATTTCTTCAACACTTACTTATTTGGCTTAAGAGATTTTTACATTTGAAACCAAAATAAGACCCCCTTCTTGATCGATTGTATTGCAGTAGTGCCCAAAGGGCCCAGTGGTGCTAAATCCTATACAAGTGAATGGGATTGGAGCACACTGCAAGGCACTTCTTTCCACCACGTGCTGAGCATACTTGTCTCTACAGTGCTCTTGCGTCCTGCTGCCCTAGGAGCGCCATCTGTCCCTGTTCCACGCTGCTACTAGATAAATTAGTGCTAGTTGTGATAACTCAGCATAGGTTTGTATTCTACGTACAAGAGAAAAATGGGCAGATTATCAGTAGATGTATTATGTGAATGTTGAAAATGCAGGTGTTAAAACATGGAATTCGCTCGAACCCCTCAAGTAAAATAAACTCTGCCCTCAGAACAGAAATATTTAACAAATTGTAAGGTGCCCTCAAGAATTTATGTTGGTCAGACAAGAAATACGACTGATCTATGACATGTACTTTTTACATGAGAAACAAAGGCTGCTTTATTGTGGTATTTCACTAGAGCTGGCTACAGCCTCTCTTCTCAGGGACTTTAAATTGGATGGAAAATCTGTAGACATCTGAGACTGCCAGGTGTTCCTGCACCTGCTGGTGAGGGGCTGGGGGAATAAAAGTAAAAGGGTCAGTAAAAGGGTCTTCATTAAAGAATTGGGCCCAAGAGCCTGCAAAGACTTACACGCATGCTATGTTTATGCACTGAGTAGTCCTATTGGTGTCAATGAAGTCTGGCTGTTGAAGTACATGTGTAAGTCTTTACAGGATCAGGGCCTTGGCTTGTACAAACTACTGAAAACAGTACAATTAAAGGGAAACACACACAGGTCATTACTGTACAATGTATACCATCAAAGCAGCATTTGTCTTGTAATGGGTAGCACTACAAACCTATCAGTCAAGAGGCGATGTGGCATTTACTGACAACGCAGAAATGGATTTTTCTTTGAAATATTTCAGAGACTAAAATGAACATTTTGCAAATTCATGATGGGTTTGTTTTATTTTCTAGACATCTGTGGATATTTATAGCGGTTATTAAAATGGTTCTGTTTATTGTAGGGTTCCTCATGTGTGTGAGGCTGCTGGCATGGGTAGGTTGAAATGTAAACCTACCAGTTCTGACACTGTCCTTTTGTAATTAAACAAAATGAAAAGGGTTTGGCAGTGTGGCAAATATAAAGGATACATAATTTCATCATTATGTAACTCTTAGAGTGAACAGGTGCATTCTTTACCTGTCGGGAGTCAAATCTTTCTCCTTTTTCTTCTTCCCACTTTTCTTCCCTTTTTTCTTTTTCTGAGGACCATAAATGTAGACAGCAATTAATGACATAAGTAGCAGGGCTGTAGAACTGAATGCTGTTGGAACTGAGATGAAGGCCAAAAGTTGCTGATCCAACTTTAATAAACCTAAATATTTCAGCATTTGTATTTTCCACTATCTATGTACTTCTACGTGGTCCTCACCACTATAGTACCTGAGGAATAGATTGTATCCTTGCAGCACTCTGTGAGATAGGGAATTACTATTCCCATTTACAGATGAGAAACTGAGGCACAAGGGAGACTAAGTGACTTGCCTAAGGTCCCAGAGAATGGCTGTGGTTGAGCCAGGAATTGAATCCAAGTCTCCTGAGTCCCAGACTAGTGCCCTAACCATTAATCTCCTTCCTACCTACTCTTTGTAATGCCTCAGGGAAGAAGTAGCATGAGGTCAGGATAACTAAAGCAGGTCTTCTCTTGGGATTTTCTCCACAGTAACTGAAGCATTATGAGAAGGCTACATATTGTGCAAATGGCTTCCTCACACATTGCAAAACCCCATGGAAAACAAATCAACACAAGTGTGGGAATCACATATGCTAGCACTCTCCATAGTCATTAGAAGTCACTAGACACAAATATGCTTATGGCTTTCAACACAACAATTAACTAAGGACAGCGCTTGGTTAATCCATGTGTGTAACACACAGTGGAGTTAGAGCTTGGTGTAGTAGGCCCAGTCCAGCAAAGCACTTAAGCATGAGCTAATGTGATTAGTCATGTCGAGGTCAATGAGACGACTCCACACATTTAAAGCCAGGCATGAGCTTAAACGATTAGTTTCCTCAACCCTTGGGAAGAAGAGACTTTATAACCTCCTACTCATGCATTTATTTATTATTTTATTGAATTATTCACAAACCCTTATGCAGTGCTCCAGGGGTTGCACATTTTAAAAAAAAATCCTATCTGGAAAATGCTATTGTTCCCGGAGTAAATCAGCAATGATTAGAAATGAATCAATTATAACTTTCCAAAGACCGGATCATACTTTAGACAATCTACTGCTTATATCATCTGTTACTGTTCATAATACAATGTAAATAATCTAGACAAACCCAGAGCTATATAGATAAGAGACAATTGGAGAAAGCTAATATTTTTAATGGACCTGTATTAGAATAATACAAACATGTCCAAATATGCAGAACTATACCACAGACTTCTTTATGTAAATAGTCCGAGCAGTGTGGGGTGGTTTACAGGACAAGGAACATGTTCTACATTACACAAACATCTTTAGTGATGGTGTCAGAAAAGTATGTTTCACACTATAGTAGCAATTGGGAGATTGCAGAGATACTGGCTCTAGTGCAGGGGTGGGCACACTTTTTGGCCTGAGGGCCACATCGGGGTTCCGAAACTGTATGGAGGGCTGGGTAGGGAAGGCTGTGCCTCCCCAAACAGCCTAGCCCCCGCCCCCTATCTGCCCCCTCCCACTTCCCGCCCTCTGACTACCCCCCTCAGAACCCCCGACCCATCCAACCCCCCTGCTTCTTGTCCCCTGACTGCTCCCTCCTGGCCCCCCCGCCCCTAACCGCCCCCTCTGGGATCCCACCCCCTATCCAACACCCCCTGTTCCCTGTCCAATGACTGCCCAGATCCCTATCTACACCCCCGCCCCCTGGGACTCCCACGCCTATCCAACCGCTCCCTGTCCGCTGACTGCCCCCCAGAACCCCCTGCCCCTTATCCAACCCCCCCGCTCCCTGCCCCCTTACCATGCCACTCAGAGCACCAGGACTGGCAGCTGCGCCGCCCGGCTGGAGCCAGCCATGCCGCCGCACAGTCTAGAGCACCGGGGCAGGCTGGCGGCTCTCGCAGCCGCGCTGCCCGGCAGGAGCTCACAGCCCCGCCGCCCAGAGCGCTGGCATGGCAAACTGAGGCTGCGGGGGCGGGGGGACGGCAGGGGAGGGGCCAGGGGCTAGCCTCCCCAGCCAGGAGCTCAAGGGCCGGGAAGGATGGTCCTGCGGGCGGGATGTGGCCCACAGGCCATAGTTTGCCCACCTCAGCTCTAGCAGGTTATTGCCAGTGCTTCTCTAGCATTGTTTCTTTATATTTTTTAGGAAGTTGGAAGAAATTATAACATCATGGGGACTTATTGGGAAGACAAGATGATTTTTTCTTTATAAAGACACTGAACATATGCTGAATTTATTGGCCAACTGGTAATTTCTTCAGGGCATTTTCACCAGTAAACTAACTCAAAAGCTTAAAAAAAAATTGTTATATGGAAAAAAATGTGTTTTCCTAATTGACATCAGTGTTTCTGGGAAATTTGGCAAGCACTGAGATAAGAGGAAATGTGAATTTTAGACTGTGGCTTTCCTACAAAATATACCTTACTGACAGCTGCTTTTACTATATAGCAAATGCAAACAGGTTAATCACTTATGAAAACCTATTTGATTTTACCTTTTAAATGTGTCAGTCTATTCCATCCCCTAACCACTTTATAGGTGTCCCATTTATTCATGATTATTTTCCACTTTCTTGCATATCCTCTACTGTATAATAAAACTGCATTTAGTTCTGGCTGATCTAATGGTGCCTCATCTCCATTCCTAAGTGGGGTGTGCACAGGGTCTCTTTAATGTGTGATCACTAAATGGGTTTTGAGCAGTTCAGGTGTTGCTGTAAGCATATACAGAATCCGTTTGCAGCAGGATTCTAGAGCACAAGGTGGAACAGATCTTAATAGAGTGTCTTGTAGACACTTTCCCTCCAAGTCAAAATTGCATTGACCACTTCCCCTTCATTGCAATTGTACAACGTACCTGTGGCAGGTACATCAATTGCTTCTGTGGACAAGTAGTATGGAGAAAGTACTTCATGCATATTTTTTAGTTCTCTTTTAAGTGCAGTTCAGGGCTTGGAAAAGAGGGGAGCATCACCATGTAACCAGCTCTCTCTCAACCATTTGCAAGTGTTTCATGGACTGCAACTGGCCCCTAGATGGCAGGTGAAGAAGCTTTTTCTTCTTACGGAGGGCAGCATGGGAACATGCTCACCATCATATTTGTACCATGTCATACTACACTAACTCTCAGGGGACATTAGAGAAGAAGGCAACTTTTTAAAATGATAGAAGCAGATTCTGAATCTAATCACAGCAGCTAATGTATCTCCTCTACAGATTGCAAATGATACAGCAATGGCCTTGTGCTACTACACATTTCCGTAAGTAGTGCAGGGAACTGTATCTTCACAGCATTGTACCTAAGCACTGAGTATCCTCAAGCTATGTCTACACTGCCCCACAGTTCAGACTACAGGGCTGCACCCCAAAGTGCTGTAACTCCCTTGTGTAGATGCTGCCGGTGCGAACTGAAAGGTTCCTAGTTTGTATGATGTAGTCCTGTCTGAAGGAGGATTACATTAATGGGAACTATGAACCTTTTAGTTCATGCCCACGATGACCACACTGGGCAGTTACAGTGCAGCACTTTGGTGTGCACTGCTGTTCACGCCCCTATAGTCTGAACTGCAAGGCAATATAGACAAGCCCTTCGATGCCTCTCCTGTCTTTCTGGCTAATGCTACTGTGGTGTGCTGCCACCCAATGTGTTATGTCAGAGATCAGTTATGAAACCCTTTTATATTAGAACTATGATACAAGTAACACATGCACACACAATCTGAGCCATTGTCTTTCCTCGAAGTTGACAGTAGTTTCGTGCTCATTTTTCCCGATCTTTGCTCAATTAATTTGTGACAAATGTTTACAATAGTGGTAAGAATGGACTAACAGTGCCTAGAGAACATGACTTACGAGGCATAAATGTCCATGAAATAAGAAAACCAAGGGGAGAAGGCAAAGCCAGGACTTGTGTATGCAGCAAGTGCGCTATGTTGGTGTAGAGGGCCAGATTCTGATGCCCTTATTCGCATTGAATAGCGCCTTCTTCCATGGTAGTCCCAATGACTACTAAGCAATTTCTAAATCTTGCCACTTTTTCTTACACAGTATCTCTAAAATCCTGCTTTTCTTTTCTGCCCATGCAGCCAAAGCCCTCATTATTACTGCAACCTCCTCTTTCCAGGGCTTGACTGGCACACCTCAAGTCTATTTAGCATGGATTTTTCAATAAGTCACTTTGGTGCTTCTGAAAATTTTACCCTTGTTAAGGTTGTCAGATTACTAGGGCAGCTACATAGGGTGGGGCTATTAGAATCCTAATAATGTTGACTCTTGCCTTCTCTCTACCAGCATTCCCAGCCTGCACCATCCACCAGTCAGCTTTTATCTCAAACATCTCCACGGCTTTTCCCATGCTGCCCCATATGCATGGGGCAAATTCCAGCCAGTATCTTCCTTTAAATCCATCCTTAAAACTCACCTCTGCCCTGCTGCTTACAAACCTAGTCTGCTCATCATGGCTGCACAGGTGACAAGGTACGACTATGCCTCTTCTCCACCTCTAAACCCTCAATCCATTTAACTACCAAGCTGGATCAATTCTTCAAAAGATTCATTTGCGTGAATGTTGCATTCTCATCCCTACCCTCTGCCTGTTGGTGTGTCTAGCTTGTAAGCCCTTCAGGGGCCCAGGAATGATCTCTCTTCGGTGTTTGTACAATGGGGCCCGCAATCCTGATGAGCGCTTTTGGATATTACTTTAGTATAAATATTGAACAGTAATAAAATACTTTCATGGGACTGCTTATGGAGTAAGGTGCTGTTTAGCCTGAGTAAGGGTATCTGGGTCTGGCCCAGAATAAGAAGTGATTTGGCTTCTTACCCATCATGCCTGGCTGACTGATGTATTTTCATCACAGCATAATGGCTAATATTCCAAAATCTAATCCGCCTGCCCTTTGGGTGTGAGGCAGCAGGTGAATATTTAGGGTCCTTCTAAAACTACTGGGCCAAATGAAACCCTGGTGTAACCCCACAGACGGGATAAAATAGCCTGTTATCTTCTGGGACAATGTAAGTGATTTTTGCTGATTTTTCTCTTAAATGCTAAATGGTATTTAAAAGTCCTGAAATCAAAGGCAAGGCTCTGCTTGGAGGTAAACTGTGTGAACTAGGAGGGCTAACAGCTTCCTTCTGGATTTTAATGGGATGGCTGAAAGAATCAAACTTTTAAAATCCAAGGTCATGTTTAGGGGCACCTTTGCTGTAATGGAAAAAAATATATATTCAGCTAAACAGTTTTACAGTGAGAAACAGTCCGTTTCCTTACAATGACCTTCCCAAAAGTTCAATCTCAATGGTGCTTACACATCTCAGCACATGGAAAGCTGAGCTGCCTCAGAAAAGGGAATTCTGGGAAGGATGTATGTCAGGAGTGTTTCCTGATGGATTGAGAGTTTTCCTTTTTCTAATTCTTAGCTTTTTTTTTTTTACCTGTGACTACTTATTCTAATGTGATACTATAGACTGCAATGGTGCTTTTGACCTGCACATCAGTTCCTAGTGTCTATTCCCTAGGGCCAAAGAGGAATAGCACTAAGGTCTGTGGGCTTGCTGTGAATGGTAGTTGCAAAGCAAATAGAAAAAAATCTTTCGAAAAGCTGCAGTAAGGATTCTCAAGAAATACGGCCTCACGAAAATGGAGCATGCCCCAACAAAAGAACATGAACTCTGCTTTTCAGTATTCTGCTTGACAGACATTATACTCACTGCCAACTTCCCACTGGTCACTGGACATAGAAACAAGGGTCTGTCTCTATAGTAGTTGTCTCGGGAATGCTGTTTGCAAGGCAGGTTAACCCCCTGGAAAAATTTGTTTTACATCTGGCATCACTTAGTCTTCACTGGCACCGTGAAATCTACAAACATTCCCTAGTTTGTATCACCTGCTTCAGAGGCCCTGGCTCCTCTAGGGAAAGGACTGGATGGGTCTGCCAACACTGGCCCTTGATCAAACAGAAGGATTACTATTGAATAATTAAGTACTCTTCATCAGCGAGTTGGCAAGCTGCTTCCTAACTGCTCCTAGTCTACACTATGCCCATTACACAAATCCAAATTCTCAAAAACGCAGTCTAAGGTCCATATGCCTCACTACAGTGACTGAGTGTGTATGACCTGGGGGATATTGTGTACACAAATGAGAACTGAGGTGTCTTCACTGCCATGTGTGCATGCAACTATCCATTTTGTGTGCTGAGTCACTGTAACTGCACATGCATTTTTGTGCATTGCCTTCCTTCTCTTCAAAATTACACTGACATTGTTTGAATTGGGTCCATATAATATTCATATATCAATTTTCAAAGATGCCTCAACCTAGCTTTTGCCCTTGTAATTTTTTTAGTCAGGTGCAAAGAGCATTCTAAATTTCTAAAAGGGCTGAGATCTAACTAGAAGTACTGAGGATGAAGGTATTGGCATGCACAAACAATTCCAAGAGTGAAACTTCAGCACGAGCTTAGGGTTTGCTATTTGCCTTTAGCGTTTTACATTGAAATGCTGATTCCATCTGGAAATGCTGAATGCCTGCTGTACAAATGTTGTTTGGAATTTAAATCCTTGGGTAAAATAAAAGTGCACATGCAATTCAAAGGAACGTGCAGGTGTGGAGTTCTCTGCACGCTGTAATGCTGTGAAACTAGATGTAAACAGTGTATGTCAGCACTCAAGTTGTGCTAGAACACTTCCGAATGCTGTTCTGGGACTTTTTTAGGAGCTGGAATGGTGTTCTGGCACTTCCCATGGGTCTGGGCCAGGCAGCACCTTTCCCTCCTCAGCTGCAGCATGTCAGGCCATCAGGTGCCATTGGCAGGCCCAAACGGGGTGCTGGACAGTGGGTCAGCGGAAGGAGCTGGGGACACTACAGCCAGGAGTGGGCAAAGGAGCATAGAAGTGAGGTGGGAGATGTTGGGAGCCGAGTATCAGGGCCGCCCAGACAGCAGAACCCCCCATGGGGAGCAGGTAGGGTGACCAGACAGCAAGTGTGAAAAATCGGGACAGAGGGTGGGGGGTAATAGGCGCCTATATAAGAAAAATACCCCAAAATCGGGACTGTCCCTATAAAATCGGGACATCTGGTCACCCTAGGAGCAGGAGTCAGGCAGAGCTAGGAGAGGTGGGGGCAGGACAACTGCAGGGAATCAATCTCCTGCTCCACTGGACCTGGACCTCTCCCAGCTCCCCCTGCTCCCTCCTGGGGCCTCCCACTGCCCTGCATTCCAGCACTTCTTTTTGTAGGACTCCAGCACTGCTATATTTGCTGCGTTTTAATGGGTCAAATACACTAACGTAATTTATGCCGCTAACTTATTTCCTTTTCCTAAATAAAATGTGGTTTAATTGCATTAAATTCTTCAATGGTGAGCAGAATACATTTAAATAATATTTACCAAAATGCACACATTTGTGTGTCAGTCGATTCAGATACTTGAATGATTAGACCAAGATTTTCAAAAGTGACTAGTGATTTTGGTTGTCTTGGTTTCTGGGTGTCCCTTTGGAGACAACTTAAAGGGACCTGCTTTTTGAATGGAGGATACTCAGTCCATGGAAAATCTACTAGCTCCCAGTCCCATGCCTTAATTACAAGACCATCATATTAATCTGGATCAAGCAGGCTCAGAATATATGGTCCGATTTTCAAAAGTGCAGAGCACCCTCCACTTCCGTTGGCTTCAGCTGGAGCTGTGGTTTCAGAGTACTCTTGAAAATCAGATCAATATTGTGGGGTTGTTCCCTCAGAATGGTTTGCCTGGCCCTAAAACATAAATTAAAATAAAAAGTCTAAGGGTTGGTCAACACTGAAATCTAAAAAAACTACAAAGAACACAAAACAAAACAAAACCGCCTAAGAAATCCGCTTACGAGTGAGGTGGTTTTGACCTCTTGTGACCTAAGATTCACCAAACACTCACAGAGGGAGTTTCGCTATTGACTTTAATGGGGGTAGGATTTCTTCCTTGGTATTTAGGGGTAGAGAATTGTGATGCATGCTGGCTTTCCATCCCTTGCTGCACTCACCTTCTTTCCACCTTTTTTCCCCTTTTTCCGTTTTTTCTCCTTCTCTCTGTCCACTGCCAGTTTCAGATTCTTCAGTTCCTGTCGCATCAGCTCATCAACCTATTCAGACAGGCACAGGGTTGAATTTTTTTCTTAGTTTTTCCATGCTGTAGCCATACACCCAAAAACACTCTGCAGACAAATATTCAGCCAAACATTTAAGGAAAAGCATGGATAGGGCAGCTCCGAATGGAGGCAAGGTCTAGATGTCAGGGTCAGTTCTTACCACCATAGAGAAACCCATGTCGGCAAGAACCATTCTTATAAATGTCCTGTTATTATTGTAAGCACACCTGCACTCTGATCTCCTCCTCCACTTCTTTCCGCTTCTCCTCTTTGATCAATTCTGGGTCATACTCCTGGGGGAAATTCCATCGCTCATCTCTGTTCTGCCAAACATCTGGTATCCAAAAGCAAAGAAAGGGGGCAAAAAGTTATAGGAGACATTGGTTTTCTAGATGTTGTTGAAAAAAACAGGATAGTTGAAATTATTATTAATTGTATGTAAGAGGCAGACCCTAGAGACCCCAAGCAAGATCAGAGCACTATTGTGCTGGGCTATGTGAAACTCAAGGTTAACCTTCTTTGCCTTGTATTGTAGTTTGGTATTGGATTTCAGGGGGATAGTAATGGATATTGAGGTTGTCACTTTCAGGTTGCAAGTCCTAATCCGTAGAGCATCACTGCTTGTGTTTTTCACTTGCAACCTTAAGGAGTAATGATATAAAATGAGTTCAACCATGTCACCGTACTTTGGAATCCCTCCACTGACTCCCTCTTGCTTCCTGTATCAAGTTTTAAACTAGTCATGGGGAAGTCACAAAAATAGCTCCTACCCAAGGAGCATACAGACTAAAAGACTGACACAGAAAAGATAAAGCAAGCTGTGGGACCAGAGGCATGGGTTAATTTTAAACATTAACTCCTCATCATCCTCATTCTCCCTTGCCCAGTTATATAATACAACGTTGCATTACATACAATAGAATGAGAGGGCATTTGACTGATGTGGGATAACATTTGTGCCTCACAGGCTATGTCTACACTATCGCGGTAAGTCGACCTATGCTAAGCAACTCTAGCTACGTGAATAATGTAGCTGGAGTCGACATACCTTAGGTTGAGTTATTGTGGGGTCTACACCGTGGGGGGTCGATGGGAGAAAAGCTCCCGTCGACTTACCTTACTCTTCTAATGGGGGTAGAGTATAGGGGTCAACTGGAGAGTGATCTGCTGTTGATTTGGTGGGTCTTTACTAGACCCGCTAAATTGACTGCTGGTGGATCAATCTCAGAGTGTCGATCCCCTCTGCAGTGTAGACCTGCCCACAGAAGAAGTGAGATTTGGGAGTAATTTGAATGAAGATGAAGTGTGGGCCTGGACTACTGGCTTGGGAAGCCATTCCACACATAAGGGACGGCACAGAAGAAGGCATGAAGATGGGAGTGTGAGATGGAGGGGGCAGTGAGGCTGGCATCATTGGTGGGGCAAAGGGGAACGAGATAAAAATAGGATCCAGCACATACAGGTGCAGCAGAGCTGGGCAGAACTTTGAAGGTGAGGGCAAGAAGTTTAAACTTTATATAGTAGGCAAGGGGGAGGCAGTGGAGGGATTCCAAAAAAGAGTCACATAGTCCAGCGGATATTACATCACTACTCTTTAATGTTGCATGGGCCAAACACAAGCAATAAGCAGACTACATTTGAGGGAGGGAATGTGAGAAGTGCAAGTCTATGGCAAAATTTCTGTTTATGATAAAGTACCCAATGATTTTACTTTGTGAATATTTTTATTTTTAATGAAAACTACCTTTTGTTTTCCAGAAAAGTAAACTGAAATTTGGAAAGCCCTGTATTTGTTTGAATACTGTGGTATCAACAAAGGACACACATTTAACAAGGGAAACTCCTTATCTCCTCTTCCAATAGACTGAATTAATTTTAAAATAACAACTTCATTCCTTGAGTTTCCCTACATTCCAAACCCTGATAGTATCTTTATAATGACAGCTGATCTCCAGCAGTATGCACTGATTCAATTTCCAGATGATTTAAAATTACAGTTTTCTACCTTAAAACATAGACTCCTTTATGAAGCTGTTTTTCATGGACTACTCTTTTCACTACCCTCTGCAGTGTCTAAGACACTATAAACTGAGAAAGATATTCAGAGCACCCACAGGAGATCATGCAAGGTTTAGTCTAGTTAATATAATACATGCTGCAATCTACTGCTTCTGATAATTCTCCTGGATTCCAATTATGTGCAAAGTCTGTGTGGTTTTACACATAGGACTCTTCACCTACAAAAACTATTTCCTAATTTTATAACTAAAAATGGTAACAATTAAGGAGGACAGTGGATTTTTGGTAACGAGGAAAGGAACAGAAAGGTATAGACGTCAATTTCTTTAAATGACTCCAGGCCTGTCAAATAACATGACAGATGCCACATAATATTTCAACAGGAAAGGTTGACTTGCCCTAGTTAGAAGGCACGTCCCCCAGGGTTACCCTAGTTTGGAATTTCAGCCTTGGGGAAAGGGGATATTACATAGAAGAGATGTGAATTTTTAAACACTTTCCTGGCTGGGTCAACAGGTTGCAAGTGCTATGTTTTCACAGGAGTGTTAAGCTTTAGGTATTTATTTTTCATAAACTGAGCCACACTTTTTATTTTATTTTTCATAATTGTTTGTCATTCTGTGCATGGATTAGTGGGTAATAGGCTCTCCAGACAAATCAGTGACCACCTCCTTCCTGCATCTTAGCCAATAGGCTTTATCGATATTACTTGGCGATTGGCTCACTGAGGACTAAATTAGTCACTAGGTTAGAGGTCTCTAATTTTAGAAGATAGATCAATGGCTTGTAGATGTTAGATGCGATGTTATTTTTTTCTAGATCAAAAAAATGTTTCCAAGTTCTTTTTAAAGCAAGGTCAGAAGGTTAAGGACATGGTGTTTTCACTGAAAAGTGCGTGGTGTTCAATTACATATAGGGTCATTTAACTAGGGGAGTGTGTGCATGTTTTTGTGAAATGCCGTTGAATCACCTCTTTTTGAAATGCATATAGCTTTCTCTAGATTCATCCTTTTTCTCTCTCTCTACCTGGCTGCTAGCAGGCTGCCCTTTGGGCTAAAGCGGCTGTCAGCATCAACACTTACAGTGCACTTGCTCAGACTCCGAAAACTTAGCCTTTTTAATGTGGAAAACATTATTTAGTGTTAATATTTTAATTGTAGAGAGCAGCCGGTGATCAATACAGGGGGATGCGTAATCGTCACACTCATACGGAAACCGCTTGATGACAGGGTTTGAGATCTTTCAACGTAAGATAAACATGAAGTCATGTCACCACAGCGTACAGCACTGCCAAACACATAGGAAGCATGGTCCAGTGATTATAGGACTGGGCTGGGCTACAGGAGACCCAGATTCAATCATGCTCTGCCACAAACATCCTGTGTGACCCTGGGCAAGTCATTTAGCCTGACTGTTCTCTGTAAAATGAAGGTAATAGCCCTGCCCTACAAGGGTCTTGTGAGGATAAATACATTAAAAATATGAGGTGCTCAGTGATAGGGGCCATATAAGTACCTTTAGTAGGTAGAATATCACAAGAACAAATTATTGCTTGTGTCACAACTTGAAGTTGTGCAAGTAGTACATTCACAGTAGTAGTACATTACATTGCTTTCCTCTTACTACAGCATAAGGGGAGGAGATTACATATATACATGGTGTGTGTGTGTGTGTGTGTGTAAAATGTGTTTTAAGTGGATGCCATCGCTTACAGTTAAGGTTCCCTAAACATTTCCATTGTAAGCATCAGCTTTTGGTCACTCCGAATAATTCTTACTTATTAGACTGAAAATTTCTAGGCTTATTCACTGGTAAAGGTGAGGTTTTCCTCAAAATTTCTATAGACAATAGTTAAGCACTTTCAAGCAAGGGGAGAGTGGAAAAAAATCCAATATTAAAAATTTGTGACCTTTTTAGAGTCACTCTACCATCTATCTGATTTGATTCTTGAGATTTTGAAAAATTGTGCCTCACATGTGAGCAGTACATTTTTGGCTAGTGGTAATTTAAATGAGAATTGCAGAGCATACTAAGTGAAGGTAGAGTACATTATGCATACCTGTAGAAGGATATAGCTATATAATAAACTATACTGAATCATAGAATAGAATTGTAGGACTGGAAGGGACCTCAAGAGGTCATCTAATCCAGGCCCCTGCATTCATGGCAGGATTAAGTATTATCTAGACCAGAGATGGGCAAACTACGGCCCGTGGGCCACATCCGGCCCGCGGGACCCTCCTACCCAACCCCTGAGCTCCTGCCCCAGGAGGCTAGCCCCGGCCCCTCCCCTGCAGTTCCTCCTCCCCTGCAGCCTCAGCTCGCTGTGCCGCTGGCGCAATGCTTTGGGCTGCGGGGCTGTGAGCTCCTGGGGCAGCGCAGCTGCAGAGCCCAGCCTGACACAGTGCTCTGTGCTGTGCAGTGGCGTGGCTGGCTCCAGCCGGACGGCACGGCTGCCTGTCCTGGTGCTCTTGGTGGCGCGGCTGTAGCGCCGCCAGCCACCGGTGCTCCAGGCAGCGGGGTAAGGGAGGGGAGCAGGAGGGGGAGGTTGGATAGAGGGCAGGGGAGTTTGGGGTGGTGGTCAGGGGGCGGAGGTGTGGATAGGGGTCGGGGCGGTCAGAGGGTGGGGCACAGGGGGGTTGAATGGGGGCAGGGGTCCCAGGGGGCAGTCAGGAAGGAGGGGGGGGGTTGGATGGGGTGGTGGGGGGCAGTCAGGGAACAGGGGGGTTGGATGGGGCATGAGTCCCGGAGCGGGGGCTGTTGGGGGCGAGAAGCAGGAAGGGTCAGAGAGGGGGCGGGGGCAGGCCATGCCTGGCTGTTTGGGGAGGCACAGCCTCCACTAACCGGCCCTCCATACAATTTTGGAAACCCGATGAGGCCCTCAGGCCAAAAAGTTTGCCCGCCCATGATCTAGACCATCCCTGACAGGTGTTTGTGAAGGTTAGTTGTGAATGAGGTGGGGGATGTGTAGTTTGTAGAAATTAATAATTTATTGAAAAGCAGTGAAATGTGCATGATCAGAACCAGAATATTAGTTCAGATAGTCTCAATCCACAAGTGGCAAAGATAAAAGAAGTGTGGCAAAGCTTAACAGCTCTGGATACTTTACTGTGAATACGTTAATCTTGGACATTCCCATAGCTATCCTTTGAATCTCATTGAGTTACTGTTCCCTCCCTAAGGATTTCTGGGTGTGCTACATATTGGTTAAATCTGAATCCCAGGCTGTAGTTTCAATTTACCCCAAATGGATTCTAGCAGTGTCTCTTGCCTACACAAGCTCATTGTTAAGTGCTCCTGGAGGCATTTTCAGTGCATAGGGTCGTCACAATGTGTCATATAATTTATCAGGAGTCTAAACCTGCATATTTGGAGCCCCTACAAGTGTATCCTGTTAGGGAGGATTTAAGAAGGAACATACCTTGGCTACACATACAATTTATGGCAACATGTACACATCTGTTTTCAGTTACACTTTTGATAATTAACTTGCCCCTATCAGCTCTCAAGCAGAAGTAATAATAAATGGACATTTCTTTGAAAGGGCTAGCTGTGAGATTTGGGAAGTCTTTCCCCCCCACATCTCACCCATATCATGGAGTCAGTACTCTTAACCTGCCCATGCATATTAACCTAAATATTTTAAATGATTTAACTCCCCTCGCCCCTCTAGTGATGCACACACCACTTACAAAGGTATGTGAATAGAGCATGCCGTTTTGTATTTCTTACTTTTTACATTTGTAGCTGAGCAATTTTTTCAGTACAGCTGTAGACAATCAATATACACAATTTCGGAGGGATTAACAGGTAGTATTTGGGGCAGCATGGAGCTGCGTTGCCCCAGAAGGAGTTCCAGGACACCTTCTGGCTCTGAGGGGTCATTAAGGGAGTACCGTGCCTGCTCCCCCACAAGCCTAACCCATCCCATCTTCTCCCTGCCCCTTATGCAGAGGCTGGTGTCGGCAACGCTGCTAGCCCTGAGTGCAAGGATTCCCATTGTTGTTAGCAGGATGGGGAGACACTTCTTGTGCCCTCTGCCTCCATTTTGTGCCTATGCAAGGACAAGACCCAAAGTGGCCCCAAACATGCTTAGCAGCACACACAAAACACTCCTCGCAGGTTAAGGAGCAATTTCTTTGGTTCTCACATCTGTGCATCTCCTGTTGATTTCAGTGGGAGCTGTATGTGTGCATTCAAGGGCTTTGAGTCCTCCTTTGATTCTTACCATGAAGCAACTCTCCATGATTTATAATTTACAAGAGAAATTCCACGAGTTAACAAGGTAAGGCCGGGCAGTACTCTGCTGATTACAACTCATTTTCAAATTGATAACTTCTTTTTCCCACGGCTGACCGGAGGCAACTCAATGTGAGTGATTGCATAACAACAAAGGATTTCAGGCGAGGAATTTAGCAAGTCAGTAACACTGTAGAGTGTTAAGAAGAAACGATTTAAAAAAATAACTTTCTCATAATGAACGTAGGCACGGAAGTAGTGACAGCGAAACTCAAAACCTTTACTTCAGAGTTTGGTCTCAAGCGTTCCAAGGTCAGATACTTGTAGCTTATTTGCACCTTTGAGGCCTTACACTACGGCTCATGAACCATGCTTTCTATTCAGCCTCTTACTTCAAGAGACTCTTGATCCTCCTGGTTGGGGGAGTCTTGGGGTATGTCTGCAAAGCAAAGAAAAACCTGCACCTGGCCTATGCTAGCTGACTTGGACTCGCTGGGCTTGGGCTGCAGGGCTGTTTCATTGCTGTGTAGACTTCTTGTCTTGGGCTGGCGCCCAGGGTCTAGGAACCTGCGGGGTGGGAGTGTCCCAAAGCTTGGACTTTAACCCAAGCCCAGAAGTCTATGCAGCAATGAAACAGCCCTGCAGCCCAAGTCCCACAAGCCTGAGTTGGCTGGCCAGCTACGTTTTTTTCTTTGCTGTGTAGACATACTCTTGGTAGCTCTTTTGAGTAGTTAGGGTGTGGATTGCAGAGCTTTGGATAGGGAAGAGGGGGAAAGGGGACAAGTGTGGAGCAGGGGGTAGAACAGAGCTGGTTGAAAAATTTTGAAAAATACTGGAAAATTTCAAACTCTCTTTTTTTATCAAAAATGTTGTTGAAAGTTTTCATTTACCAAAAGCAGAGTTTTCTGTAAACAAAACATTTCAATGTCAGTTTGACTAATTGTTTTGACTTTAAAAAAGTTGCAAAAAATCTTTGCAGGAAGCACAAACATTTAAATCAACTGCTTTTTTAAAAAAAAATCTCCATTTTGAAAAGCTCTTTCTACAGCCAATCTTTTCATTCAGAAAATACTGACCAACTCTAGTGGTGTGTATCAACAGCCTTGTCAATGAATGAGAGGGCAAAGAGGGTAAGAAATTTAAGGAATGTAGTTGTAACCTCAACTGCTAGATAGAGCTTTCCATTTAGTGGCCAGTCAATACTATATATAAGCACAGGTGACTTTTCTGAAATAAAAATAACAAAAAATTAAAGCACTTACAGATGCACTACCAATACTTTGGGCCAGATTCTGCCACCTTTCCTCGCACTGAGTAGCACTTCACTTTAATAACCGTCCCCTTGAAATCAAAGCGTCTAGTCACAGAGTATGGCCCTGATATTCAGGGCCGGCTCCAGGCACCAGGCACCCAAGCACGTGCTTGGGGCGGCACCTGGTAAGGGGTGGCGGGAGGAGCGCGGCGCGGCATTCTGCGGGGGGCGCTCC